CCCCCCTGTCAAAGGGATATGGGGGTCAGGATCCATCTAATGGCATGTATATACATTCAATGTGGGGAAACTAGCCTATTCAAAAAACACAATATTTTCCTCCAAAATGCTGAACCACCCCGGCCCTTACCATTTCGGCCCGAAAGTTGTGATAACTCAAATTTTTCAATATTTGCTACTACGCCCCTGTCAAAGGGATATGGGGCTCAGGATTCATCTAATGGCATGTATATACATTCATTATGGGGAAACTAGCCAATTAAAAAAATATAATATTTTCCTCCAAAATGCTGAACCACCCCGGCCCTTACTATTTCGGCCCGAAAGGTGTGATAATGTAAATATTTTACAATATTTACAACTACGCCCCATTCAAAGGGATATGGGCGTCAGGATCCATCTAATGGCATGTATGTACATTCATTGTGGGGAAACTAGCCTTTTCAAAAAATATAATTTTTTCCTCCAAAATGCTGAACCACCCCGGCCCTTACAATTTCGGCCCGAAAGTTGTGATAATTCAAATTTTTACAATATTTGCCCCTATGCCCCTTTCAAAGGGATGTGGGGGTCAGGATCCATCTAATGGCATGTATATACATTCATTGTGGGGAAACTAGCCAATTAAAAAAAAATTATATTTTCCTCCAAAATGCTGAACCACCCCGGCCCTTACAACTTCGGCACGAAAAGTTGTGATAATTCAAATTTTTACAATATTTGCCCCTTACCCCCTGTCAAAGGGATATGGGGGTCAGGATCCATCTAATCGCATGAATATACATTCAATGTGGGGAAACTAGCCTATTCAAAAAACACAATATTTTCCTCCAAAATGCTGAACCACCCCGGCCCTTACCATTTCGGCCCGAAAGTTGTGATAACTCAAATTTTTCAATATTTGCTACTACTCCCCTTTCAAAGGGATATGGGGGTCAGAATCCATCTAATGGCATGTATATACATTCATTGTGGGGAAACTAGCCAATTCAAAAAAAAAAATATTTTCCTCCAAAATGCTGGACCACCCCGGCCCTTACCATTTCGGCCCGAAAGTTGTGATAACTCAAATTTTTCAATATTTGCTACTACTCCCCTTTCAAAGGGATATGGGGGTCAGAATCCATCTAATGGCATGTATATACATTCATTGTGGGGAAACTAGCCAATTCAAAAAAAAATATATTTTCCTCCAAAATGCTGGACCACCCCGGCCCTTACCATTTCGGCCCGAAAGTTGTGATAACTCAAATTTTTCAATATTTACCCCTACCCCCCTGTCAAAGGGATATGGGGCTCAGGATTCATCTAATGGCATGTATATACATTCATTGTGGGGAAACTAGCCTATTCAAAAAACACAATATTTTCCTCCAAAATGCTGAACCACCCCGGCCCTTACCATTTCGGCCCGAAAGTTGTGATAACTCAAATTTTTCAATATTTGCTACTACGCCCCTGTCAAAGGGATATGGGGCTCAGGATTCATCTAATGGCATGTATATACATTCATTATGGGGAAACTAGCCAATTAAAAAAATATAATATTTTCCTCCAAAATGCTGAACCACCCCGGCCCTTACTATTTCGGCCCGAAAGGTGTGATAATGTAAATATTTTACAATATTTACAACTACGCCCCATTCAAAGGGATATGGGCGTCAGGATCCATCTAATGGCATGTATGTACATTCATTGTGGGGAAACTAGCCTTTTCAAAAAATATAATTTTTTCCTCCAAAATGCTGAACCACCCCGGCCCTTACAATTTCGGCCCGAAAGTTGTGATAATTCAAATTTTTACAATATTTGCCCCTATGCCCCTTTCAAAGGGATGTGGGGGTCAGGATCCATCTAATGGCATGTATATACATTCATTGTGGGGAAACTAGCCAATTAAAAAAAATTATATTTTCCTCCAAAATGCTGAACCACCCCGGCCCTTACAACTTCGGCACGAAAAGTTGTGATAATTCAAATTTTTACAATATTTGCCCCTTACCCCCTGTCAAAGGGATATGGGGGTCAGGATCCATCTAATCGCATGAATATACATTCAATGTGGGGAAACTAGCCTATTCAAAAAACACAATATTTTCCTCCAAAATGCTGAACCACCCCGGCCCTTACCATTTCGGCCCGAAAGTTGTGATAACTCAAATTTTTCAATATTTGCTACTACTCCCCTTTCAAAGGGATATGGGGGTCAGAATCCATCTAATGGCATGTATATACATTCATTGTGGGGAAACTAGCCAATTCAAAAAAAAAAATATTTTCCTCCAAAATGCTGGACCACCCGGCCCTTACCATTTCGGCCCGAAAGTTGTGATAACTCAAATTTTTCAATATTTGCTACTACTCCCCTTTCAAAGGGATATGGGGGTCAGAATCCATCTAATGGCATGTATATACATTCATTGTGGGGAAACTAGCCAATTCAAAAAAAAAATATTTTCCTCCAAAATGCTGGACCACCCCGGCCCTTACCATTTCGGCCCGAAAGTTGTGATAACTCAAATTTTTCAATATTTACCCCTACCCCCCTGTCAAAGGGATATGGGGCTCAGGATTCATCTAATGGCATGTATATACATTCATTGTGGGGAAACTAGCCTATTCAAAAAACACAATATTTTCCTCCAAAATGCTGAACCACCCCGGCCCTTACAATTTCGGCCCGAAAGTTGTGATAATTCAAATTTTTCAATATTTGCTACTACGCCCCTGTCAAAGGGATATGGGGCTCAGGATTCATCTAATGGCATGTATATACATTTATTATGGGGAAACTAGCCAATTAAAAAAATATAATATTTTCCTCCAAAATGCTGAACCACCCCGGCCCTTACTATTTCGGCCCGAAAGGTGTGATAATGTAAATATTTTACAATATTTACAACTACGCCCCATTCAAAGGGATATGGGCGTCAGGATCCATCTAATGGCATGTATGTACATTCATTGTGGGGAAACTAGCCTTTTCAAAAAATATAATTTTTTCCTCCAAAATGCTGAACCACCCCGGCCCTTACTATTTCGGCCCGAAAGGTGTGATAATTCAAATTTTTACAATATTTACCACTACGCCCCATTCAAAGGGATATGGGGGTCAGGATCCATCTAATCGCATGTATGTACATTCATTGTGGGGAAACTAGCCAATTAAAAAAAATTTATATTTTCCTCCAAAATGCTGAACCACCCCGGCCCTTACCATTTCGGCCCGAAAGTTGTGATAACTCAAATTTGTCAATATTTGCCCCTACCCCCCTGTCAAAGGAATATGGGGCTCAGGATTCATCTAATGGCATGTATGCATGTATTCATTGTGGGGAAACTAGCCTTTTCAAAAAATATAATTTTTTCCTCCAAAATGCTGAACCACCCCGGCCCTTACAATTTCGGCCCGAAAGTTGTGATAATTCAAATTTTTACAATATTTGCCCCTATGCCCCTTTCAAAGGGATGTGGGGGTCAGGATCCATCTAATGGCATGTATATACATTCATTGTGGGAAAACTAGCCAATTAAAAAAAAATTATATTTTTCTCCAAAATGCTGAACCACCCCGGCCCTTACTATTTCGGCCCGAAAGGTGTGATAATTCAAATTTTTACAATATTTACCACTACGCCCCATTCAAAGGGATATGGGGGTCAGGATCCATCTAATCGCATGTATGTACATTCATTGTGGGGAAACTAGCCAATTAAAAAAAATTATATTTTCCTCCAAAATGCTGAACCACCCCGGCCCTTACCATTTCGGCCCGAAAGTTGTGATAACTCAAATTTTTCAATATTTGCCCCTACCCCCCTGTCAAAGGGATATGGGGCTCAGGATTCATCTAATGGCATGTATGTACATTCATTGTGGGGAAACTAGCCTTTTCAAAAAATATAATTTTTTCCTCCAAAATGCTGAACCACCCCGGCCCTTACAATTTCGGCCCGAAAGTTGTGATAATTCAAATTTTTACAATATTTGCCCCTATGCCCCTTTCAAAGGGATATAGGGTTCAGGATCCATCTAACCCCATGTATGTATATTCATTATGGGGAAACTAGCCAATTAAAAAAAAAAAATATTTTCCTCCAAAATGCTGAACCACCCCGGCCCTTACCATTTCGGCCCGAAAGTTGTGATAACTCAAATTTTTCAATATTTGCCACTACGCCCCTTTTAAAGGGATGTGGGGGTCAGGATCCATCTAATGGCATGTATGTACATTCATTGTGGGGAAACTAGCCAATTAAAAAAAACTAGATGGAATTTTGACTGCGTGCAGTCGAAAATGATGCCTCCGCAATAGAGCAATTTAAACAAGTTTGGAGTTTAAATCTCCCGTGGTTCTTAAGATATCATGATAACAATCTCAATGTGTGGAATTTCATAAGTTGACCTCTGTGACCCTTGACCTTTGACCTACGTGCTCCAAAATCTAATCAGATTGTCTTCCTATGGTGATATCATTAAGTTTGAAGTTTAAATCTCCAGTGGTTCTTGAGATATTATGATATGGTGATACATACTATCATTAAGTTTGAAGTGAAAATTCTCCAGTGGTTCTTGAGATATCGCGATAACGATCTCAATGTATGGAATTTCATAAGTTGACCTCTGTGACCCTTGACCTTTGACCTACGTGCTCCAAAATCTAATCAGATCGTCTTCCTATGGTGATACATACTATCCTTAAGTTTGAAGTTTAAATCTCAAATTGTTCTTGAGATATCGCGCTAACAAACTCAATACAAGGAATTTCATAAGTTGACCTCTGTGACCTATGACGTTTGACCTACGTACTCCAAAATCTAATCAGATCGTCTTCCTATGGTGATAAATACTATTCCCGAGTCTTAAGTTTAAATCTTAAATGGTTCTTGAGATATTGTGATAACGGTCAAACGGGACGGACGTACGGACGTACGGACGGACAACCCGAAAACATGATGCCTCCGGCACCACATTCGGTGGCGGAGGCATAAAAATAAAAAAAATACATAGCAACTTGTAAAGTACAAGTGTTTCTGTTTATCAAACGCTTTCAAAAATAAATATCCTTCATACCTTTTATGTTTGGGTGCACCTCCTCTGGAAGCTCTGTGTACAATGAGAAACGTTTCGATAAAAATTGATTAAAGTTCATGCATCTTTGAAAACAAATCATATTCATGACAGAATATCAAAACGTACAGAAAGTAGAGGGTATGAGAAACACTATTCAATTTTTTACTTAACACGTACCCTCTCTGTTTAAACTAAGATGGAATATGAATTACTGAGTACTGTAAGCATAGAATGATTACCGTACTCTAAATATAGAGTGAGTTTATACAAAAGGGGTTGATATCATTCTCCACTTGGGTTTGCCAAGCTGGAGGACGAAGTATTATTGCACAACTGTACACTAACCAAATGTATCATTCTCTATTTGGGGGAAGCAAGATTGAGTATGAAGAATTTCATTTGGGCTTACCAAGATGGAGGACAAAGTATTTGTTGCACAACTATACACGAACCAAAGGTATCATTCTCTATTTGGGGGAAGCAAGATGGAGTATAAAGAATTTCATTTGGGCTTAACAAGATGGAGGACAAAGTATTTGTTGCACAACCATACACTGACCAAATGTACAAGTATCATTCTCTATTTGGGGGAAGCAAGATGGAGTATGAAAAATTAAATTTGGGCTTACCAAGATGGAGTGTGAAGTACTGGCTGTCAAGGTAGAGAGTGACTTTCAGGGTCTTTTCTTTCAGATCCACTATCACATAGTCCGTGGTGAAGTACTGGAATGGATAAAGAAATAGCCCCATTGCATGTGTAAGAGGTTAAAGTCATTCAGAACATCTTAATTGTACTAATAAAACATAAAATGCAATTTAAAAGAAAAAAGTGAAAGCTCACAAGATCATTATTTGTTTTAATCTCATAGGTTTCAAAAGTTGACAGAAGACTATTTTCAGTCATGTGGGTTAAAGCAAGACTTGCCAAATGATATATTAATTACTATATTTATATCAAAATTCAATTGTTTTGGGAATAGTACACATTGTGTGACTTCAATATCTTTTTCTACTGATCCTAGATCGACGTTGACACTGTTACCATATACCATTCTGTATTTATATTGTGACACATGCTTTTCACTTCCTATTATGCATGCAGTGCTTTGTATTGGGAAACTGAAGCATTTTGGAGTGCTATAAATGGTTCATTGACTTGACTGTCTATGGCTAGTGTGATATGCAAACCCCTTTGGAAGGGCATAGGAATATTTTGACATAGGGATGTTATGTCAAAATATGATATGTGCTTCCAGACAATTCTTTGAATAAGTAGTACACCCCTGAAGAAGAATTGTGGAGGCGTCATGGTATAGCCATTCATTCAATTGAATCTCAATCTAAAAGTCGAGGTTTCGAGTTTCAGCCCGGCACTAACGTCTTTTGGGAAGACATTAATCCACATTTGCCACTCTCCACCCAGGTGAACTAAGAGGGTAACCGGCAGCTGATGGGGTAATAATAATCGCAGGGCCCCTCAGGAAGAATAGCATTGATGCTGACGGGGCCTCCCTGGTTAAACCAATTATTTGTATTATCATAATTATCAATTAATATTACAGTCAAACCTGCTATAGTGACCACCTGTCTACAAAGACCACATTTTTTTGTTTCCCTTTAAAATGGTTTCTTATTGAAACATGTACTGAAGGAACCTGTCTACAAAGACCACTTCTTGTGTTTCCCTTGGGCGGTCTCTATAGACAGGTTTGACTGTATTATTGGATGTAAAATTTCAATAGGCTGTACTTACATGACACTTAACATAGATTGATACGACCACCTGATCACCCATTTGATACCAGTCATGTCTGAAAAAAGGGAAAGTGAGAGAAAACGTTAGTTTCATAATCAGTGTACACTACTGTACACATAAATGAATGGCACGTTTCACAACTGAGGGGGGCATTTCACAAAACATGTCATCAGTGACAATAGACAGTTTTTGTTATAAGCTACTGAAATCGTAGCTTCTCATTGGTTATCAACAGATTTGTCACTGATTTTTGTCATTTGTCATTGAAAAAAGGCTTTGCGAAATGGGCCCCTGGTGGCACAGCTCTTGATTGATTGTCACTTCAAAAATTCATAACTTTCTTTATATTCTTCGTTGAATTTTGCTCAAAATTTCACTGACCTGTTCCTCTCATGGTTCTGCTTTTATTATTAAATCTAACTTAATATCAGCGTGAACTTCCCCTTTAAACCATATCTAGATGATTTAAGGGGGGCTACATTACATTTAGGTTGCTTTAAATTTTAGTCCAACAATTCTTGAAAGCATCCTATATTAAAGGGGAAGAGTGAACTACTCTAAACAGGGTTCCCACAGAAATTTGAGAACCAAATTCCATGACTCTCCATGACTTTCCAGGACCCATTTATGCCTCCTGAGTCCACGACCAGATGTAAGTACCATTTTGGTATGTGTTGGTTGCAGCATAAAAATACCACGCCCATTGTCAGTTCAAACTGGAAGGCTACCATAGCTACACAAGGCCCACACCCACAATCAGTTTCCAAGACTTTCTGTGACTTTGGGATAATTTTGTTCTCATTTTTCATGACCTTCCTGAAGAATTTATTTCTCAATGACTTACCAGGTTTTCCCTTGACCGTGGGAAACCGTGTCTCGACCAAATCAAATCGATAACGAGGATAACAGAAGGCCTGTCCTCATCAGCTTGAGTTTGCCAAATAACCCGCTATTTTAACTATCCCAATCCCAAATTAACCCGTTAATTTGTGTCTTCATCAGCCCGCAGTTGCAATTAGCGAAATATTGGGTCAAGATAATATCCAGAGAAGTCTTGGTCTTGTTTCCAAATATCCCGCTATTTGGGAAATAGCAGGCTAATTTTGCCAGTCCGAGCTAGTTTGTGATGAGCGTATCGGTCCGGTGAAGATGCAATTTCGAGCTTCTGGGCCCCGTCTTACAAAGAGTTGATATCAATCACAACTATGTGCATAAGAGATAGGAGACTGCAAACTTACGATTGATTGGAGGACTTGCCATTGATTTAGATCAATCGCAACTCTTTGTAAGATGGGGCCTTGGATAATATCATGAGTCTGAAAACAGCGGGTTATTCGGCAAACTCGAGCTGATGAAGACAGGCCTAGAGACAATTCACTTACTTGGCTCTGACTTTGTTGTCTCTGCCCCTCAGCTTACACATATACCAGGGAATTTTTTCCACCGTGTCTGGCCATTTGATGGTATAGCTGCCCGCCTGCTCCATCTTGGACGGCGAGGATTTCTTGTCTAAAAGAAAGATTTTGAAAATAAAAAAAATAATGATAATGTGGGAGATCAACACCACATACATGTAAGAGCAACAGCCCATGAGACTGACAATTGCAAAAGGTTCACATAACCAGAGGATTTCTTGTCTAAAAGAAAGATTTTGAAAATAATAAAATAATGATAAAGTGGGAGATAAAGTCCATATAAGACCAACAGCCCATGAGACTGAGGTATGAGGTTCACACAAATATAAGATCATTAATTGTATGTCCTTAAAGGGGAAGTCCACCCTGATATTAAGTTGGTTTAAAGCCCAACTGCACTACTTATAGCTACTTGTGCCCTCTATATAGCAAACAATGCCTAATAGGTGCCTGTTGGTCCCCCATGATCCTCTTTTTATGTTAATTGAGAGTTGATTTGATGAGATAACCACCTGTCAGTGACCTTGCAGGCAGGTCTAATCCTCCCAGGGCAAAGTAGTGCAGACAGGATTTAACAAATGCTTTCAGGGATTTTTTGATTTTTTTTTTTTGAAAAAAAAATCATTTACAACTGAACTACTGTCATAACTTTGACGAAATGTGAAAAATAGTTATATCAGTGCATTTCCCCATTTTGAAGGGTGCCAGTGTCCAATTTGTGCCTAAAATGATTCTAGAAAAACCAAAATAAACTTCTTCTGCTTTCCCTTTAATTCAAACCAACTGCATTGTAGTTCCAATTTCTTGTTCATTTCAATCACTTAACCGTAAAATCCTACATGACCAAAGTTCTATTTCCATCAAAGGAGTCTCACATCTCTGCGCTCTAAAAGTCATGGAGCACATCCAATGTACCAAATGATCCTCCTTCCATAATAAATTGCAAACATCACTCAGTTGAACAAAGCAACAATGAGCTTCTTCGTCCATGAATGATTCCATGTTCTAATTTACAACAAGGCAAGAAACAGGCCAAGGCCTTCATATTTTTATTAATCTATAAATTGTGCCTTAATGCGTTTTTTAAAAGTATCCTTCACACAGATGTATAATGTGCGTGACATTACTGTTTCCTTAAATAATACATAGTTGCACCTGGGGACTCTAGTTGTTATGGAAATATGCTTTAAAAATATGTGTGTGAAAGGTTGAGATGAGACTCGAGTATAAAGGGGGATCAGACATTTGCCCCAGGCTTTTACATGTGATTTGTAGGGAAAAAAGGGAGAGACTGACAAACACCCCGAAGCTGATCAACTTTTGAAAAACAAATCAGTCCAAAAGTCAATGGAAAGCAATATTGTATGGATAGTGGCAATGGTATGGAAATCCTATTTGATTATTTTTGTTGAAATTATCCCCACAAAAATTCTGGGATTATTCCTACCATCCTATGGTACAAATTATTGTTATTATTTTCATTGAAATGAAACACTTATTTTTCTCTCACTATAAAATGTCGATAATTTACCTCCAGATTTTTTCATATTTTTCCTTCTATTCTAAGCCCCACTGATGAATCTTTAAACTGCAAGTACTTTCACCCAAAGATTTCACCTCAGATTGGTTTGGATGGGGTGCGCAGCTCAAGCCTCAAAACGCCTACCCACTTTTAGAGGTCATTTTGGGAGATTTTTCTCGGAATAAAGGCCCATTTTTCACCATTTTTGAATTTTGAAAAAAACGGACCCATGTTAAGGGATTTTTGTGCGAAAAGTGACCCATTAGAGTGGCACATCCCCTATTTCTTAATATGTGAGTACCCCCCCCCCCCCCCCCCCCCCCCCGGGCATTGAACTAACTATAAACATTACAATACATACAAATTACCCACAAAATTATGAAAAAAGAGATGGAGCATTTCACTTCCGTCTGCACAAATTAACTGTTAGAATTTCACTCGTGCATGACTTCAAAAGGGTCTGCTAGAATAAAAATATTTGAATAGAATTCTCAAAGGAAAAGCTGTATTTCACCTCAAAATACAGATTTGTATTTTGTAAATAAGGGTCTTTGTGTAAGATTGCCCAAACTTGAACCCCATGAACAGGCAAGCAAATTAACGTGATTTGTGAAGTTTATTAAAGCCCCACTGTACTACTTGTAGCTACTTGCTCCCTCTATATAGAAAACTTCCCCAATCGGTGCCTGTTGGTCCCCCATGATCCTCTTTTTCTTATGTTAATTAAGAGCTGAGTTAAATGAGATAGCCACCTGTCAGTGACCTCGCTGGGTGGTCTAATCCCTTCTGGCTGAACTACTACAGCCGGCCTTTAAACTATGCATGGCTTTTCAAAGAGTTGTTGGTCTGCTTGTAAATAGTGCACAGAACTTGTTTTCCAGCTGGGAAATGGCTTCTATAGAATTGTGGCATACCAACGGCAGAATTTGTCACAAAAGGCTGCCCCTCTGTAATAGACTCTGATGATCTGATCAGACAGCTTTTATTAATGGCCATTGCCAATTTGTAGCACTGACAATATACGTACACATCACAGATTGTCTGATTTTCTTTCAGATTCAATGCACTGGAAATGGAATGCAAGTGATACATGTACACTGTAGATATAAAAAAAGATATGTCCATGTAATTGCAAAGTCCATGATAAATGTATATCGTTAGAAATAAAACAATTTTTTTTTAAAGGACTTACACAATTTTATTACTTGTATGTCAAGAACTGTGTCCTCTCCTTCTCTTCTACTCACTCCTCTCTCCATCCTCTTCCCCTCTTCTCTCTCTTGCTCTTGCTCTGTTCTCTTTTGGTCTCTCTCTTCTCTCTCTCTCTGTTTCTCCCTTCTCTCTCTGATATATACATACTTGTAATATTAGGGATAATATGACAAATTTTCCAAGGACTTACATGTACAGTGTATGTTATTACTTTACCTACATGTACAGGTGTATATGTCAAGAAATGTGCCCTCTCTGTACCCATCTCCTTTTCCCTTTCTCTCTTTCCAATTATTGCATAAATATGTCATGCAGTGGGTATAAAAAATTCTCCATGTACGCACTTACATTTATTTGTCACTACGAAGGAATAAACCTCACTTTGCCTGAAGCCAGGCTAAATGGTTTGCAATGAATAAATGTTCAGTAGTTCCCAAGTCCCAAATAATGTATATTGTGTGCATTTGTCTTTACTCTTTAGTGACTAAGATGGATCAATTCGCCCTGGGCTCCAAATTAGCTTTTTTCACAAACACTATAAGGTTGTAGAGGCCTTTACAGGGTTTTTGTGCTTTGGGTCCCTGTAAAAGATTTGAAATTTGGGGGTCTTGGGTTAAAATTAGGGAAGGGGGGGGGGGATTGCGCTATTTGCCCTAAATAAGTGAGTCCTACAATGTACATTGACTAACCTGGTACTTTGAAGAATGCCAGGGGGTCTCCTTTCTGCAGGGGTCCAATGTGACACTTCTCAAGCATAGACTCTACATTCACCCACCTATGTACCTGTGAGAGAGAGAGAGAGAGAGAGAGAGAGAGAGAGAGAGAGAGAGAAAGAGAGAGAGAGAGAAAGAGGGGAGAGAAGAGAGAGAGAGAGAGAGAAATAAGGGGGGGGGGTGCGGAAATGTTAAATGACATTTTGAAGGTACAAAAAGCAAAATTGATTTTCAAAGTTAAAAAGGTAACCAGCCAAGAGAAATTGAACAAAATTCACTAAATTATGATAATATCAACAATAATAATAATAATAACAATAATAGTACAATAATTATAATAATTATAAGAATAATAGTAATATTAAAAGTTATATTGATAATATAATACAATGTATTGTTTACCTAGGGTAGCCTCATTAGTATTTATACTGTGCTCCCTGAGGGATCTGCAATCATAATACATAATAGATTTTACTTACATGTATCTTCTGATCAGTGTGGAATAATCACCACCTGAACAGGTACAGATTATGTATGAACATAAATGATGTACTGTATGTGCATAAATTATGTAGACAGTGTGCATAAATCATGTACCGGTATGTGCATTATAAATTATGTATGTAATTTCACTGATATGAGCTTGCATCAATAATTACCTCATTAAAGAGATCTGTTGCATCTATACCAAGTCCTTTCATTAACTCCTCTGCACCACCTGGGTGATACTCCATGTATGGGGTCACATTGTACACTTGACCTGTCAGAGGTCAAAGGTTAGAAAAGGTCAAAGAATTAAAGTATTATTCGACTGTGAAACTCCTCTGTGAGATGAAAAAGGAGGGACTCATTTTCCCAAATGTTCATAATTCTGAAACACAAATTTCCCTTTCCACTTTCCAGAAGCTCGGAAAACAAAATAGGGATCATAATTCTGAACATTTGCTGTGTTATGACACCACAGAGTGAAAAACGGTCTGATCTGGACGCAGTACCTTGCAATAAGAATTTGAATGAATTATTACCTACTTTGAAAATTATCACTGATTACGGCAACATCAAATGTCTACATCAACCAGAAATACTCCTTACTCAGTAACTTTGTTGAAGGTTGATGAAAAAAATGCTATTCCTTTTACTGTACTTGTACCCTCAGACATGCAAAAAATACTTTAACAAATTCTCAAAACACAAAGTCTCCCAACCATTTTTGAATTTTTCCAACAGTTTTTTTTTTTCCATTAAAAAATTGAACATAAGACAGGCTTTCAAAGAGCCAATTCATTGCTTTGTGACGATTTACATTCACTTAAAATGTAATTAAATTGTAATAATAAATTGTGTAGAGGTGTTGTGGTCGAGTGGATACGTCGCCGGACTGTCGATCACAAGGTCCGCGGTTCGAGTCCCACCGCCACACTAATGTCCTTTGGCAAGACATTGATCTACATTTGCCACACTCCACCCAGGTGAAGTAAATGGGTACCTGGTAGGAATTTATTCCTTGAAATGCTAGAGCGTCGTATGGCAGCCGTGCTAAAGCCAGGGTAATAATCGGGAGCGCCAGGAGGGTCAAATCTGACTGACATGAGCGCTATACAAGAACCCACTATTATTATTATTATAATTAATATAGTTGGGAGGATTATGGAATTGATCAGGTCATTTTTCCCTAATTTTTATCATTAATAATGGTCCGTTTTCACTCAAACTTTCAGATTATCTTTAATTGTACACCTAGCATTGAAGTCATTACCTTTAATAGCACCATTTTCTCTCACAAATCTGAACAATGTTACCAAGTCCCTTTAGTAAAATACAAAATAAAGTACCATCAATGGCTTTCTGTACCAAGCAAAACTAGATCACAAAACACCTTGTCCCAGGATGCAAGCAAGCATGAAGAGTCAAGAGCCTTCACGTACAGTTCTCCCTTCTGTTCCACCGCAAAATCGTAAAAAACTACTAGCCTGTTGTTCCAGTGCTCATGAATACAAAAGTTGACTTGGACTTTAACACAGCGTGTTGTCATGTCTAAAAATAGACCTTAACATTTTCCCATGCTGTTACCAGACAATAGAGGAGCTGGTGTAGACTTTTCTTGCTTTGTTATGTAACAAATCTCTAAATCAATGGTTGTGTGTACATTTGTACTACTGGTATAGAGGATACATGTACACAAGTATTGTCCGAGTGTCTAGTGACAGTAACTTTGCCTCAGCGACATTGATTTTGCTCACTTTTGCTCACAGCTTTATGCTGCCAACAGTAAGAGAGGGGGAAGAGCTAGGGTGATTGGATTTACATTAGCTTATAGGCCTTAGGGTTAAGATGAGGTATTGTTTCGTCCATACTTCAGTTCAGAACAATTTGGCATTCAATTATCGCCAGAGCATACAGTGCAGTGTAAAAAATACTTTTCTATTTTTACGACAGCTCTTTTAGGATCTGATATTGTACATGTACATGTGCAATTTTCTCAAAGGGATATTTAATAAATTTGTTTTTCACTAGAGCTCTTTTAAAGCTTTTGAAAGTTACTTGAATTTGCTTGCAGTTCCAGTGTATTTTTAGCGCGAATGCAGTGTATATAATGTTGTGAATATGTTCAAAGTACAAAGTTAATTTCATAACACCAGACTTTTTTCTTTCTGGGTGACCCTAAATTTGTCTCTATATTGTTTGCTCTTAGGATGACTTCATAATTTTCCCCATGACATTCTTTTCTGATCGATGCCCTCTAAAAAGAACTTCAATAAACTTGAACAGCAGCATTTGTAAACTTGTCCTCTATCAGGAATGAAATGGCAACATGAATATGACACAGCAATATTGAAAAGATAAAAAGAAAATTAAGAAATAATCCGGAGACTACTCTTTATCTACATTTTATCAAAAAGGAAGGAATGATTCACCCAATAAAATAAACACCTCTTTGCAAATTCACAAAAGGTGGACAACTGTACAAATATTGACAAGGGGGCAAATATCCACAAGTGCTGGAATTCTGGGCAATTTTCCAATCTGTAGTACTAGGAGTAGGATTAGACTCTGTCCATGTTGAAATATGAGCGGAAGAAAAACACAATAGTCAAATCTGAAATTCAAATATGATTGTGCTGCACATAAGCAAGATTACAGCATAGAAAATTTAATAACAAATATGTTTAAGATATACACAGGGGACATGTACTTGACAAAGATTCACAGCTAAGGTAACCAAAATACAGTATTACTAATCTCTAACTCTTTGATTTGTAGATGAAGAGCAAAATATATTTGGCTTTTTATGATGTTTGCTTTGTCTACATATATCTATCTGGAATATTCCTTTTATTAGGTTTAAACACCTGATTTACAGGTTCATTCAAACATGCTTCTTATTTCATATTTCAAAACACACACACATGCTCAAATATAAATACAATTACAAAAAAGCCATTAAATCAAATTTAAAAAAAAAGAAAAAAAAAAAAGAAAAAAAAGACAAACTTATAATTTTTTAGGATTAAGAAATGATATCTACCGGTATTAAGCTAAGCTCCAGGTACATGTACAAGTACATGTTGTATTAAAAGGTTAAGATATTATGCAGCCACAAACCAAGTCTCTCCTATCTTTTTACACAATCAAAGCAAAATGTCAAGGTAAACCTGAAAAAAGGAAATGCAGCCAATTGGGATGGTAGTATGAAAGCCCTGTTTCACAGAGATCTATTTAGAGCTCCATTAATAAAATTGGTGCTCTGGAACTCCTTCCATCTATTCATTAATGCAATTTGTGGAGTGGTGGGCTCTATAGCAATCCCTACAGGCAAGAATCAGGCATTGTACAGTTGTTGTATGCATGTGGAGGGGTTGGGTGATGCTGATGCGTATGGGTTAGTACGTAGTAGAGTGTGACATACAGTGATTAGTGTAACTCAATAAAATTGGCTGTATCAAGGGAACCAATTAACCAAAGAAACACATAGCAGTTTCACAAAACTTAATTATCATCAGTGACAAATGACAGTTTTTGTTCAAAGCTAGTGAAATCCTTGCTTCTGATTGGTTATCAGCAGATTTGTCACTGATTTGAATGTCATTTGTCATTAAAAAAAAAAGGCTTTGTGAAACAGGTCAGAGCATTCATGAACAGCATAAAGAATAACATACACTTTTGAGTGAGGTTTGCAGTTACACCACGTACAATGTATTCTTTCGACAGGGTTAGTTGGCCCTTAAAGGGATCCACTCACGCTCTATCTCTTTCTCAGGCCCAACTAACCCTGTCCAAAAATACGTGGTGCAACCACAAACCTTGCTCATTACCATGGAAGCCTTCAAAGATTATTTACACGTAAAACCCTGCATATAGAAACAATGTCAGACTTGAGCACAGGAGCGTGAACCTCTCTCTACTCACGAGTTGGTTTCACCTTGATTTCACTGTGCATTACATTGTACCTTCTAACAGTAAATTCTCCCAACCATTTTTGTATTTTCCCTAACTTTTTTTTCATGAAAATAAGACATAAAGACAGGCTTTTACAATACTTCAACACTTATTTGTCTGGAATGGTATACAGTGTCAATTCATTGCATTGTGACGATTTACATTCACCTAAAATGTAATTAAATTGTAATAATATAGTTCGGAGAATTAAGGATTTGATCAGATGAGTTTTTCCCAATTGTTATTATTAGTTTTCACTCAAACTCTTTAATTGTACATCTAGCATTGAAGTCACTACATGTACCTCGACCAGCACCATTTTCTCTCATCTGAACAATGTTACCAGGGAGGTGAAAGAAAAGGAGGCGAAACTCTTGTAATTTATTCAAACACATTCTTGAGTTCTAAAGCGTAACAATGGGATGTGTAACATTCCACTTGGCTTTGAAGTTCCATGCTCCGAACCGCGCTTCCATTGCGGGGACTTTCGGAAGCCAGGCTCCAGTTTTACATTTATTACAAAATATTAAATTACCGGCAAAATTTCAGTGTAAATCAAAAACTTTATATGGGGATTTTATTGGGAATAGTGCAACAAACAAATTTTCAAATTTAAAACTCCGTTCTTCCTTTAATTTGTGTGCCAGAGTTGGTAAAAGAAAAATTACATCCTGTCAAAAACTCAATATTTTAGGACGATGCGCTAATTTGTGCATGCTTTAATGTCCCGTTATTTGATCCATGGTTTACAATCTTCAATAACATTAAGTTTGCTAATGCGTTTTTTCGCGTTTTTTTTTGTATTTTTCAAGTTTAAAAAAGGATGAAAGTACACAAGTTTGTGTTCGCTTGTTCTACTCTTTACACATTCAACAATGGATGAGAAATCATTGGAAGGGACAGCGAACAGTTGCAGTGATACCATTTTCTGATGTAGGAATTCTAACTCCTGAAATTTCATGCGCTCTTTTATCTCACCACCAGGTCAACAGTTGCAGATTAGCGCATAACTTTTCGGCGGCTTGGAGCATGGGGTCAAAGGAGAGCGGCTTGATTCCAGTCCTTCTCTATCACGTCCCTGATGTTACCAAGTTCTTTTAATATCAGTTGTTACATGTACCGTAGTAACAAAGACATAACGTTTTATATGTAACTCAAAGCTTATCTGGTTCTCAATCCGAAGCCTGAAATAGAGTAGAGTGACTCCGCAAAAAAAGTTAATGTGACTCATACATGTATGAATCAATGGATTGTGCAATTTTCACCCTTCACAACCTTTTGTTACATTACGCCTTGAGGACCTAAACATCAAGCTGATAGCCATAGAATAGCTTGACTCAGACAAATGCTTGTTCACGATTTCACAATAAAATTAAAAAATGCTTTGCAATGTATGGGAAACATTGGAGCTGACTACCAAGCAATGCATGGCATTTGTAGGTCTTTAGCCATTGTACATTTACATATCTCTACCTAGCTACATGTACTGTAGTACCTGTAGGCAACTCACGAATATTTAATATAATAAAATCTACAATTTGCATGTGTTTTGAAAGCTTTACATGATTGATGTAAAAGTACAAGCAAAGTAAAGGCTATTTCTAATGGAAAAATTTAGCAGAATATTTTATATTAAAAGCTGTCAGTCAGATGGCTGATTGCCAAACTACTGAAGGCAAAAATTTTTTGACACAAAAATAATAACCATTCAATCGTCTAAACCCTCTATTTTCAACAATACAAATCAGAGAGAAACCTATATCACAAAACTAATGCCTATGGAATACAACTTACAATTCAAAAGTCAACATCTATGTAGAAAGCAATAAATCTTTTTGATATTACATGTAAATACACTGTCTTCAACAGAGCTTTAAAGATTTAAATGCTAGTCTTCAATTCAAGCAGTTAAGACGCTTATTTATGCTTGTTTTGTTTGCCTTACATGTATGCTTTGTTCTGTTAGTTTGCAACTATATACAGTAGTTATTTTTTTTTGAAGAATCAGGGCTTTTAACTGACACTTACAAACTGTACAATTGCGAAGCTCAATTCAGCTTGACTAAAAACACCTGGCTTCTTTGTCTTTTATTCTTTGGAAACAAAAACAAAAACATGTGACATGGTGTCTAAAACTTGTACTCCTTTATTGACATGTCAACTATTGAAACTCCCTTCCTGGACTTTAATATTTTGCATGTATTGGAGTCTGTGCAGCCAGACTCGTACTGAATCTACATGTAATATTGTAATCTCATAGCACATTATAGTTGTATTATGATTGCATTATGATTGCATTACCCTCGCATTACTTCCCTACATGTATTTGCTACTTTGAAAGTGCATTGGAATTTTGTCCTGGCTTTAGCTTCGGCAACTACAGTCAGTGCGTAATGTAAATGTATTTCAAGGAATAATGCCAACAGGAACCTACTGCACCTGGGTCTACGTTGGCAAATGTATTCATATATTGTTGTTGCGCTTTGTGTTTGTTCACATGCCGTATGATTGTTATTTTCTTCATGCCACAAAGTTCAACATACAGGGTGTACATGCAATCTTTCAAAAAGTTATTATGCTTCATGAATGTACTTGAATTCTGTTATGTTATGTTATTTTACCGTTACTTCTTAAATCTATTCACACGTACACGTATCACCAGCGGACGTGGAGAACCTCATGACAGAATGGAAATTCTTTGAGGTAATCCTCAGGCGTCCGCTGGTGGCATTTCCACTGTCTTACAACTCTTTCATGTTATGTGCAATGTGTTGTCATTTCTATTTTGTTTAATTAATACATACTACATGGAAATGAAATAAATAAAATAAATAAAATAAATCAATGTAGATTACATGTATAATAATATTAATATTCTATGTTCATATCTGTAGTGCTTACATGTAGATAATGTATCTAAGTTCTTTACAGATATGTACATTGTATTATTAACCCGGGCATCGGATTCAGGATTGCCCGTAGACAATGTTTGCACATTCTCAGCCAGGCGCCATCTTACGGACGTTCACATCCTACCGGAAACCCATTTAACACCTGGGTAGAGAGTGGCAAATGTAGATTTAAGGTCTTGCCAAAAGAAGTTGGTGCCAGGCTGGGATTTGTAAACTGTATCTTGTGATCTACAGTCTGATGACTTATCCAATAGACCACAACACCTCTCATGCCTTGCCAAAGAAAACTGGTGCTGTGTAATATTTTTACATCCAGTCATGTGTTCAACTTTTTATCTGCCTTGGTCGACTTATGGAACAAACACTGGACCACCATAGTTGACTTTTCTCACACACACAAAATGTAAAAAATACTAAATCAAATTGTTTGAACATAGGATTTAAATCCCCAGTGGATAAAGAGTTAAAACAACTCTACCAAGACACCGCTATTACTACTAGGAGATTTTGTTTTCCTGCACACTTGTACCCAGAGGTCTGTAAAATATCAAAGCACATTACAAATATATTTCCTCTGATGCACACACCATATGCGAGTTTGAAGTGAAAAAATATTCAGGATTGAAGGAGGCAAAAGAAATCAAGATGAGAAGGAGCAGGCAAAGGAGGAGAAGGAAGAGCAGGAGAAGGGAGAAGAGAAAGAGGGAGAAGAGAAAGAGGAGGAAGAGGAGGAAGAGGAAGAGGAGGAAGAGGAAGAAGAGGAGGAGGAAGAAGAGAAAGAGGGAGAAGAGAAAGAGGAGGAAGAGGAGGAAGAAGAAGATGTAGAAGCAAAAGAAGAAGAAGAAGAAGAAGAAGAAGAAGAAGAAGAAGAAGAAGAAGAAAAGGAGGAGGAGGAGGAGAAGGAGGAGAAGAAGAAGAAGGAGGACGAGGACGAGGACGAGAAGAAGAAGAAGAAGCAGAAGGAGAACTCACCTCTGATTGCCAGCCAGCCATCATCTATCTTGTTATGCTTGGCCAGCTCTTCTTCCGAGACGTCCATCTTCTGGCCCTGGACGCCATTCAGCTTCTTACCCTGCTGCTTGCCTAGCCGGACCCAGTCCATCAGGGAGCGGCCAGGCTTCAGGGCAGCCTTGATGCGGCTAGAGGACCCACTCGGAACGGACAGCGAGGAGGAGCCGCCTGCCCTCTGGGGTGAGTTCATGGCAGGGAACTGCTGCTGCTGCTGCGGCGGGGAAAGACTCATCTTTGGGTTCATGCTATGCAAACCTGCAATGACAAGCAAAAAATAAGTATAATGACAAGCAAATAATAAGTATAATAACAAAGTGGATTCGTGGACCAATCACTCTCAAAATAGGAATTGATAAAAATCATCTTCAAAACTGCATGACACACTCACATAGATCTAGATCTAGTCAGTAGGGTCTAGATAAACATTAAGATGCACCTGGGGGGGGGGGGGGGGGTTGGGTGCAGGATGTTTACTCTGATTTACACATCTGTGTAGGTGTGTGCTTTAGTAAGAGATTGTCTGACGACAATCCAGCTCATTTTAAAAACAAATAGGAGAAAAGCAAAAATTATTGTTCAAACTCCTTCAAATGTGATGCTCTAAATTGACTAAAATCATTTTGATACAGGAATGACTGGAATAAAATAAATCAGTTGATTTCCATTTAAAATTCCACACAAACTATATTAATGCTCCTAGTATTGATTCAGCCGTCACGCCGTGTCAATAACAATGTTAACATGGTCAATGCGACAATAATTTATATTCATAAAAAGTTCTTTAAGACTAGACCCCTACGTAGAAAATCACGTACGGGACCGAAGTAAACTATGCGGTCGAAGTCAACAACCGCTCTCTCGTTTAACTCCCAAAGTGCACGGTTTTGCCTAAAAATTGTCAATTCAAATTCAAATTGCAAAATTAAGAAAGCCTACTAATGAAGTATTAACATCGAAGATTACAGAAATAACTTGAAGTAGAATGTCATACCTGTGCAATTTCGCTCAGTGGCAACAAATATTTTGGTGATCGACTTTGGTTTTTCAACTAACTGAAGTTATCGACTAATATATCACATGCTCCATGCATGATGAAACGGGGATGAAACATACCGAGACATACACTGTTTTGTTGTAATCCAGCTATAGGTCCTTTGATTTGTTGTTGTTGTTGATTTAAAATAAAATTATAATTGAGCTTTACCTTTAAACGCGATTCGTTTTCTAGCAACTTATTTTCTTCAAGAAATGTTTGCCTTATGTGTATAAGTTATACTTAATCTGGATGTTCATCAATAAAATGGGCGTGGCACTTCTGTTTCGGTTTCTGTTTCGGTTGCGTCGGTATACTCGGGGTTTACTGTACTTGACCAACGTTTTGATTAGTATGGTCGTGTATGTGCTATGGCAAGTGGTTGTGGTATCTTGAGAAGCTTACTTAAGATGGGGGAGGAGGGGTATCGATTTTCAAATCCCCCCCCCCCCCCCCCCCCCTCTAAGAAATCCTGGATCTGCGCCTGTAAATATAGCGTAAATGTTATTGATTATAGTTCCCCTGTTCTTGATACTATTATTGTTTCAAACAGATTTGTAATTTATATTAATTTCTTGATGTTGTGAGTCTTGTGACTTAATTTTATACAAGAATATTACTTTGAGCCACTGGCGTACTGGTGGGGGAGCTAGGGGGGGCGCCAGCCCCCCCAAATAAAATTGAACCATGACTTATTTTCAATTCCATATACAAGTGATGTATAAATGTTCGTGATATCACATGATTTTCAACAAAATGCTCGTTTCTCCATTTGAGTTGCAAACTGACACATTCCCAAATGGCCAGGAATTAAGAGCATATGTTTTTTTATAGTCACTAAGGGGCCGTGGCCCTAACAGTAACACTAGTAAAAAAATCCTTTCCAGAAGCAACTGTAACACTGCACATGTACCGTTAAAGGTACTATGTCCCTTTTGCAGCCAACCTCAAATGCTGTAGAACTTTGCAGGAATTATGAATATGTCATGTATGTCCTATCTGTGAAATTTAAACGTTAGCAGTGTCCTCATATTCAAATTATGCAAGGAAAACCGTATACTTGCTAGACTTCAATGTCAGACAGTATTGAGTGACTGACTGGCTTTTTTTTCTTATTTGGTAATAACATACATGAAAAGAGTTGTAAAGGGTACATGAGCATTTGTCTACATCAATAACCCACTTCTTGTGATGGCCAAGATTAAACTGATTCAATCTTTGCGCAGCATAAAACGTATGACCATTCGGTACAATTGTCTGAAAATCAAGACTATTACTTTTGGGCTCTATAGCCCTAAAGTCGATTTGACAACTAATGGTCGTTATTTTCCCACTTGAAGACATTTTCAAGCCCCACCTTTTTTAGGGAAGTTCTAAATTAGTATTATCTTTCAAATGCAGTTGGAATTTAACTTTTTCATTTTTTTGGCCTGCAAATGGGACATAGTCCCTTTAAGGGGCCCAGTGGGGAAATTGAATTCAGACAAGATTAAGAGTATAGTGAACGGTACAGCGAATCGTCTTCTTTCTCTAATAATTTAATGAAACGGCAAAGCTTCCGCGCTTCGGGGGGGGGAACTGAATTCAGACTAGGATTAAGAGTCGAGAACGGTACAACGAATCGTCTTCCTTCTTTAATAATTTAATGAAGTGTCAAAGCTTCCGCGCTTTGCGCGGGAGGGTTAGGGTTAGGGTTAGGGTTAGGGCGGGAACTGAATTCAGACAAGGATTAAGAGTCGGAACCGGTACAATGAATCGTCTTCTTTCTCTTATAATTTAATGAAATGTCAAAGCTTCCGGGCTTCGCGCGGGAGGGGGAACTGAATTTAGACAAAAACACGATACAACGAATCGTCTTCTTTCTCTAATAATTTAATGAAATGTCAAAGCTTCCGCGCTTAGCGCGGGAGGGGGGAAACTGAATTCAGACAAGAACACGATACAACGAATCGTCTTCTTTCTCTGATTTTTTAATGAAAGGTGAAAGCTTCCGCGCTTTGCGCGGGATGGGCGAATATGAATTCAGACAAGGATTAAGAGTAATAGTTTAATAAAACGTCAGAGTTTCCGTGCTTCGCGCGATAAGGGCGAAAATGAATTCAGACTAGGATTAAGAGTCGAGAACGGTACAACGAATCGTCTTCCTTCTTTAATGAAGTGTCAAAGCTTCCGCGCTTCGCGCGGGAGGGGGGTGGAAACTGAATTCAGACAAGAACACGATACAACAAATCGTCTTCTTTCTCTGATTATTTAATGAAACGTGAAAGCTTCCGCGCTTCGCGCGGGATGGGCGAATATGAAATCAGCCAAGGATTAAGAGTAATATTTTAATAAAACGTCAGAGTTTCCGCGCTTCGCGCGACATGGGCGAAAATGAATTCAGACAAGGATTAAGAGTCGGAACCGGTACACTGAATCGTCTTCTTTCTCTAATAATTTAATGAAGTGTCAAAGCTTCCGGGCTTCGCGCGGGAGGGGGAAAACTGAATTTAGACAAAAACACGATACAACGAATCGTCTTCTTTCTCTAATAATTTAATGAAATGTCAATGCTTCCGCGCTTTGCGCGGGAGGGGGGGGGGGGGGACTGAATTCAGACAAGGATTAAGAGTCGGAACCGGTACAATGAATCGTCTTCTTTCTCTTATAATTTAATGAAATGTCAAAGCTTCCGGGCTTCGGGCGGGAGGGGGGGGGGGAACTGAATTCAGACAAGAACACGATACAACGAATCGTATTCTTTCTCTAATAATTTAATGAAACGTGAAAGCTCCCGCGCTTCGCGCGAGATGGTCTAAAATGAATTCAGACAATCATTAAGAGTTATTTTGTATTGAAACGTCCAAACTGCCGCGCTTCCCGCTGGAGGAGTTGGGGGGGGGGGGGGAACTGGATCCAAACAAGAATTAAGAGTCGAGGACGGTACAACGGATCGTCTTCTTTCTCTAATAATTTAATGAAATGTCAAAGTTTCCGCGCTTCGCGCGGGAGGGGGGAGACTGAAAAATAACTTAGTTACTGGCACCGGGTTTATAGGGTTAAATTTATAAACCTTTGGACATTGGCAAATTTGTCGGTAATTGGTTGCTCGTTTTGTCTGTAATCGGTGGCCTCTATCCCCTCCCCACTCCCCCACTGACAAAGATCTAGCGACGCCCCTGATAACGACACAGTTTATACACTCGACCACACTTTGCGAAACGTTCAGCGGGGCCTGCATGTTAGTGTAGGGTGCTGCGGATTTTTTTTTTTTGTCAGCCCCCCCAAACGTTTTTGCTCATTACGCCACTGCTTTGAGCCTTAGAATGGTCGGTTGAGTAGCGCTTGAGGTCCGATCTTCAAATAATTGAGGATCACGTTAATGGTCGGATGAGACGTGGGACATCTTCTCATACTACTCTGGAAAGTATTTGGTGACGATCATTGTCAAGTAGGCCCTGTAAAACTTTGTTAATTAATGGGTCAAAATAGGCTATGTGCTTACAGTTTCCACAGGACAACAGAACTGATATTTGATACCTAAATATTCATATTATGATCGTAAAATGATGAAAACAAAAATTACACAAAACAATAACAAATACAGGGAATGAAATACATGCAAGCTTAAATTACTTACAAGTAACAATTATCAAAATCAAAATGTGAGTATATGAGGCCTACAGTGTCATGAAATTTGATATCTTTAGATTTTTAGCCAATGGCTATACCATTTTTTTAAAAATCGCTGCCAAGGGAAATTATCAAAATACAGAAGATGATAATTAGATATCATTAAATTATATGAGACATTCCCCCCTCCGTTATCATGTTGGATTTCAAGATCACGGATCAAAATGGGCTCTAACCATCGGCTGTAACTCATTCACATTTAAATGAAAATCTGCCTTAGGCTCTTTAAAAAAATTAATATCAACACAAGTTTCAAACCCTAAACCAAACAGTGCCTCATATAGTATTATTTTTTTGTGGTCATATACCATCAAGGATACCATAATTTTCCTGTACTGTACTGGTCTAGTTATTTTTTCCTTCTCCTTCTTCTTCTTCTTTTTTAATCCTCTTCCCCTTCCTTCTTCTCTTCTTCTTCTTCTTCTTCTTCTTCTTCTCTTCTTCTTCTTCTTCTTCTTCTTCTTCTTCTTCTTCTTCTTCTTCTTCTTCTTCTTCTTCTTCTTCTTCTTCTTCTTCTTCTTCTTCTTCTTTTTCTTCTTTTTCTTCTTCTTCTTCTTCTTCTTCTTCTTCTTCTTCTTCTTCTTCTTCTTCTTCTTTCTTCTTCTTCTTCTTCTTTCTTCTTCTTCTTTCTTCTTCTTCTTCTTCTTCTTCTTTTTCTTCTTCTTCTTCTTCTTCTTCTTCTTCTTCTTCTTCTTCTTCTTCTTCTTCTTCTTCTTCTTCTTCCCTCCTCCAGTATATTCCTTCTCCCCTCGAGCTCCATTTATTTATTTATTTATTTAAAAAAAAATCTTTCAGTTTTGCCGTATTCAGATTTTGATAATTATACAAAATGATAAAAAGGAACATAAATGTTCTTACATTATTAACATAGCACATTTTCTCATACATTATAAACACAGACGTGTTTAACAAATATTTCCCATTCCCATAAGTATCCAAACTAATATATAGTACAATCAAAAATACAAATTGTGATACAACTCAACCTTTTGGAAGAAGAAAAAACAAAAACAAAATCAATATAAAAGAAGGAAAAGGTGACGGTAATACTTCATATTGATATTTTTGGATACAATATTATAATAAGGAACAATTTTTACAGTATAAACATATAATCTATGCACGGTCAATAAAAAGTAAGCAATCTGAATACATATTTTCTTATCTTTGAACATAGGTGAAGGTGCTGCTTCGATCATAACCAATAATAAAAAAATTTGTTATATTTACATGACATGACTTGGTGCATTTTTTTTTTTACTCCTAGATTTTATTATAATTATATGAGGGTCTTGTATCAGTGGAGTTTTATAACTAGACTGTTATTATTAAAAA